AAAAACAACACGGCTGCAGCGGCGAAAGAGAAAGAGTTAGCTTGGGGGAAAATAGCTGCCCGAGTCAATGGGTACGTTTACATTTTAATCATACAGTGTTCGGTGTAAGTAATTACTAAATAATGTTAGTATTGTTATTATTTGTCACTTGTAAAGTAAGGAATGGTTCTTAATTCTTCAATAATTGAATGAGTAACTTCAGTAATTGCATAAAATACCGATTTTTGTACGAATTAAAAGTGCAGTTTTATGTCTACCCTTTCTTAAAATTCCTATTGTGGTTGATATGGGATTTGTAAAGTAATGATTAATAAATAATCCAGTATGTTTTATGGAGAGTAATTATTACATTAATCAAAATACTTTTTTAAAATTGACCCAACACTGATGTAATAATATAAGAATTGAATTTTAATTTTCATGTAGGTGCATTGATGGGAATATGTGTGCCATCAATGCATCCAACCGCATTAGGAAATCCTGAAGGGGATTCTAATTATTAGTTTATTTCCAGAGGTCACAGCAAGATGTTATTAACTGATCATCATTTGTCGGATTAGCCTTGCTGAAACGAATTCAATACCACTAACCTGCAATCCTGTGAAACTCCTCTTTAATGGCTCTGAGGGGTTTGTGCCCAGGAAACACAACAAAAATTCACAGAAAGCGCTTGAGGGTGAGGCACACTTTCCGAACTATTCTACATACTGTGGCCTTACTAATGTGCTCTGCATCCCCGATGTTATAAAGAAAACTACCGTTTGCAACAAATCGTAACGCAACACAAAGCATCTGCTCGGATGTAAGAGCACGGCCACGATGGGTGATGTGTCTGATGTATGGGTGGATAAGATTATTGATATATGTTATGGACTCTCTAGAAAAACGGTACTGCTCAAAGAAAAATACATGGGGATATGACAAAAAAAAAAAAAATCAACTCGTGGCCTCAATATCCTCTCCCGACGTAAATGCAATTCCCTGCGAATTAATACAGCGTCCTCATCTACAGGATCCTCTATGAATGGACATGTCATTTTGGTCTCTGCGTGACGGAAACGTGTGCAATCTATGAATGTACTGAAAGATTAAATGACGTATTAAACACCTTTCACTTTAAAAAGGGGCGGAGACCCGGAGGAAACTCTGAGTTTCCCGAACAAAACCTGCTCGCCAGCAGGTTAGGTTCACAGAGTAATTTGCCATAGTAACTGACTGAGTTTCGATTACCTCTCTTTGTGAAACGGGTTTAACTTACCCCGCTTCACGGGTTTAAGTTACCTCCGTTTTTGAAACCAAAAACTCAGAGTTTCCCTCATTTCGGGGTTAACAAACTCTGAGTTTCGACAAAACCGCCTTCTTGAAATAGGCCCCTGACCTACCACCATTGTAAGCATAGAGAAAGTTGTCTCCTTGAAGTACTTTTTTTTTTTTTTGCAGCTTTTCCCTTTGCTCAATTTCTGGGATAGCAGGGGGTTTCTGTCAAGTGCAGCCTTATTCAAGTTGGAAAAAAAAGGCAGGTTTGGACTATATTGGCACTATATTAGCAGACTGCTTTATGTTAATAATATGGTACATGTTCTTATCTTGGGCACATGGCGTGGCGCCCTCCATCAATAGGTAGGTTGACTCCAGTAATGAAGCTGGCAGCGTCCGATGCCAGGAAGGCGATGCTGTGGGCCACTTCCTCCACCTGACCAGGTCGGCCCAGGGCATGGGTCTGCTTGCATTTGGCAAGAAACTGGTGAAAAACGACAGAACGAGGACAAGGGATACACAGATTTAGATGTTATCATTTGTAAAAGGTAAATACAAACAGAGTGGGGAATGACTTGAACGTGCAGTTCAACCACAGATGTTCTGTACCTGAGCATACTGCTCCTCATCCAGTCCTGCTCTCTTGTGGATATCTGTGACGATCACACCAGGGCTGAAGAGATGAAAATAGACATTTAAATTATATCAGAAACAACAAAAAAAAATTTTTTTTAATTTAGACAATCTGCTTTATCAGACAGCATGTGAGCTAAAAGTCTGCAACAAGTTGCACGTACCAGACAGAGTTCACTCGGACTTGCTTTGGTGCCAGCTCTGAAACAAAAAGCAGTTATATGTTCATGTGAGATTGTGAACTTTTACAGTGCTGAATATACAAGAATAACATGATTCAACTCACCAAGTGCTACACAGCGGGTGAACTGGTCAATTGCAGACTTGGACATGCAATAGACCAACACACCACTGAACTGGAGAGAGAAATGTAACAGCTCTCAAAGATGCTTCAATAACGTATAAAGCTGCTGTATATGAAGGCTACTGTTGGAGATTCCTGCCAAGCTGTGTAATACCCACCGATCTCTGTCCATTGATACTGGATACATTGACAATGGAGCCTTTGGTCTTGATCAGGTGGGGCACACAAAGCTGAGTCAGGTGGTATACGGATCTGGAATGTGAAACAAAGGTGAGGTGACAGAGTACAACTAAAATGTCTGAAAATACACATGCACACTAAATATTAAGTTGGGAACTAAGTACTGCTATAAGTACCTTCAAGAGTATAAAGAACAATTGCATCCTAGCAAGTGTGAAGGGATTCACAGTGTGATGACAGCAGTATCACCAACTCCCATTCACTGATCCTGTTACTGCGTGACTGGAGAATGATGCCACTGGTCTAATGTTTCTATGGATTTATGACGGCATGGTTTGATGTTCTCTATAGTGAAATCTGGGAGTCACAAAATACTTTTTACTTATGCATTTTTTTGTTTCAGTGGTCACCTTTGTTTACAGTAGAATTCAATTTAATGTAAACTCTTCATTTATCTTGCCATGCAAAACATTTTGCTTACTATAATTCATATATGCATGAAATTGATTAACTTTCAGTTTCATTCAACTTCCAAAATTTCAGTATATCTTTACTCTTCCATAAAATGCAAAACTGATTTTCTTTACGTTTCTGCCTGAGCTGTTTATGCCTCTGCGCTGACAATAGCCAGGGCTGGACGCAATATGTTTCGTGTTGTACGTCCGTCCGTCTGGCCCGTTCTTGTCAACACGATACATCAGGAACGCCTTAATTTAATTTCTTCAAATTTGGCACAAGTGTCCACTTGGATTCAAGAATGAACTGATTAGATTTTGATAGTCAAAAGTCACAGTGACATCAGGTTCACCCCATTCTTGTGGACACGATGTCAAATTTGGCAGAAGTGTCTAAATGATGAAGTGATTAGAGGTCAGTGACCTCACATCTGTCCCATTCCTGTGAATTTGACTGGTGGGCGGAGTCATAGAACCATTTATTTTCTCTAACAATATGAATAACTACATTTGCATTAATCAGCAATGCTGTTACTCAATCCTAATGACCTGTCATATACCAGATTTCTCTTGCCCATTTTTCCATCTAAATGTTTCATTTGCCAACCAGCTCAACTCAAAACATAACACTGTCATCTGACACATCCCAGCTACTTGGCAACCAGCACCAACCCATCTCCATGATTTTATGAAGTCAGGTCTGTGAAATCCTACCTGACATTAATGTTCATGACCTTATCGTACTGAGCCAGGTCTGCTGTCTCGATGCTGCCCATGGCCAGGATACCAGCACTGTTGACCAGAACATCCAGCCGGCCGTAGTGAGCGATGGTTTGCTCCACTGTCTTCTTCACTGTCTCCTCATCAGTCAGGTCTCCGGGAATGAGCAAGGGCTGCACAGCAATGCACGCATAATGTTTCATCAACCTTTATAGGTAACTTTGCAAAGGTTTCAAAAACATAACACCATATGAATCACTATGTTAAAGGGGGTAATGTCTGAATGTTAGTGTTTGCTTTCTTTAAAATTTTTAACATACACTGGCTTCAGAAAGTATTTACTCTCCTTCACATTTTGCACACTTTTTGTTGGAGATTAAATATTAAATTGATAAAACTGCCATTTGTGGTCATCAGTCTACACTCAACAACCCACAATGGCAGTCAAATTTGACTTAAGCATGTTTTTAGAAATGTTTGCAAATTTATTAAAAATCTAAACTGAAACGTCTTTATTAAGTAGTATTCATAGCTTTTGCTTTGGTACTTTAAATCGTAATCGAAGAGCATCCTGTTTGCTGCTTGGAGTTTGTCAAACAGCATTTAAAGGACTCACAGCCGGAAGAAAACAGGTAAATCCTAATATGGGCTGTAGTGAAATGTGCATGTCTGTACCTGAGAAGCGCCACAGTTGGTGCACTGTTGGGCTGTTTTGTTCAGGTTGTCCACATCGCGTCCGTGGAGAGCCAGCAGAGCTCCGAGTTTGGCGAACAGGACGCTGGTACCTGCCCCGATGCCCGAGCTGGCACCGGTTATCAGGGCCACTTTTCCCCTAAGAGAAGACACCTGGAATACACATAGAAACAAATGCCCAAACTATCAGGTGTCCACGCTGTACCTTGTCGTGAATAAACTCTAATTTAGTTCATACTCAATGAGTGTCAAAGCAATGATAACAATAATACAAGGAAACAATAAAACCACGAAGTACACCTACTTTAAATGCGTCACCTGAAGACATATGGTCTGAAGTCACTCGTGAATCCACTAATGATGACGTAATGTGACGCATCAGGCGCTCAAATATGAAGAAGAGCTCGGCCCCTCTCCAAATTTGTAGGCCCAAGCATTGGGTGACACTACTCTTCTAGACCTCCAACAACGTTTTCAGCACCTTATCTTTTATGTGAATACATTTAAAATACATGTCCACGCAGAAAATGTTTTGAAATCATGCCAAAAACAGGATGTATTATTTGGATCATTTTATTTAGTACAAAATTGACTATTTATTTACAGTCTATTTTTAAAAAATGATCAGAACATGTATGGTATTCAAAGGCGTTTTCTCTTTTTAACAGAATTGTGAATGATTGAAGATGAAGAGGTGTCAGGTACTTCATTGCAAAGCAGAGCCCTGAATTTTGCTTCGGTGTTGCAAATGGCAGTACTACGCTGTGGACAGAGTCTAAGGTGTTGATCTCGTTAAGCCGCAAGTATTTTTCACCCAAATGACATTTAAATTATGTGTTATTAGAAACACATAAAAAACAAACAAACAAACTATAAGATCATTTTACAGCTTCAGAGTCCATGTGCTGCCCATAGTTGGTATCTGGGGGCGTACTCTCCAATTTAAAGGTACCATACACTTTATCTACCGTCTCATTAGAAATAGCGGAGACTACATCTGTGTAAAAGGCCCATCTGCACTGAAGAGAAAGTTTTCTATCCAGCAAAAGGGTTAGCATGAATGGTCACATCTTTTATCCGGGTTTCAGTCAGCGGTCGGAACGTCTTTTCATTGACGGGCTGCTTCTCTAGTTCATCCAGTGTTTCCAGGCCATCGATAATCCTACATGATGAGGACACCTAAAATTAACTGAGGTCATGCAGAAGCAATTTTAGGTGGTCATTTTGTGTCTAACAAAAGGGCTACAAAACTATGATACATTGTGTAAATTATAATCATTCAGTAAACACATTCTAATTGGCTGTCTATAGTCATATAACCATTTACTGATACTGTATAAAGGTTACATACTTTCCAAACACTGTGTACTTCATGTCCAGATGAGGTTGTTTGGCATATGTGAAGAAGAACTGGGAGCCATTTGTGTTGGGGCCGTTGTTTGCCATTGAGACCACCCCTCTCACATTGTGCTGAAGAAAAAAATACACCACAAAAGTGAAAATGTTAAGGACCCCTAAAAACATTGAGGTAAAACTAGCTAGAGAAGGCGCTCACTTTTAAATGTTCACTGAACTCATCTTCAAATTTGCGACCCCATATACTTGTTCCTCCTTTTCCCGTGCCTACAGGAGAACCAAGGACAGGAAATGAGAATGTGAATTCTTACACTGTGTATATTGTTCAGATGCAACTACAGTCAGGTACCTGTAGGATCTCCAGTTTGAACCATGAAGCCTTTAATATTTCTGTGGAAGACGCAACCATTGTAGAACCCACTAGCACACAGAGCCAGAAAATTCTGTAAAATATTATATTAAAAAGGGACATTTTTATAATATACCACGACTTCAAATAAAAAAACATCAACATTTCTATTCAGATTGAAAATTACTGTTACAGTTAAAAACAAGTGAAACTAAGTGCAGAATAAGAAATGTAAACGTATTACAAACATAACGTTGGGTCTCCAGGAAATAACCACAAAGCATATTAAAGAGAATCTAATAATTTAAGGATATTCACTTCTAGGTTTTTGATTAGTGCTGATGTTAAAACTCCAACGCTGGCGGTTTGAGAGTCTCCCAGTACTAAACTGTTAGTAACTGTTAGTTCAAACCTAGAATGTGTGAAGTGTAGCTATTAAAAGAGACAGAGAAGCTTGTAACTACCTCACATGTTTTCGGTGTGCGCTCACAGAACAATTCAATTTTAACCTCTCCTAGATCTGTGTGAAGGGTAACAGCCTATAAAAGGTACAAAAGAGAAAACACCACAGTAATAACTACAAAACGTTAAGTTCATTAATGCTGTCTGCATAGCTTAGCAGCAAACATAAGCAAATTATGACGTTACACAAGTACAGTTAGCAATCTGAGTCATACACGGGTTTGCCTCGTTAAACCACAATAATAGTTAATTACTTCTTGAGATGGTTTGGTAATTTATCTGAGATTAATCTACCAGAATATTTCACAATGGGAGTTACCATTACAAACGTTGCGTCTCTGATCGGGTGTGTCGGAGAAACATGTCCGTCTAGGTGCAGTCACTCGGCGTTGAATGGTTCCGCAAAGAATTTGGAGTCGTTTAAAATAGACCGATACACACACAAGGCAAAGTTGGGGAAGCTACTTTGATAAAACCATCAATTACTTCAAATCAGAAGAAGTTAAACTACAGCAAAGATGCTCTAGAGAGAAATGTCGTTTGGTAAACTAAAGTTACTTAGTAAAAGTATTTCAAACAACTTTGTAAGAATGACCAAACCGACTATGTTCATGTGATACGAAACTATAACATAATAAAATAAAAATCACATGCAGGCAAAAAATGACACCCAGCGGAGTGTACTTACCAGAGACAAAAACTTGTCCTAAACAAAACAATGCCATCTGGGCTTTTGACAATGACATTGTAACTTTCTAAACAAATTATATAAGTGCACCTTGACTGTTGTGTTACTGTACTTGTCAGTTTTGTAACATCTGACTTGAACAAACCTAATAAGTAAAACAGTCTTGAACTTGAACTCTGGCCTAAATGGGCCAATCTTTTACTACTCCTTCTCAGAGCATAATCTCTTGTTTATATGACACGAGGAGTCACTCTAAGCTCTTATTCAAAAGGCAGTTAGAGTTAGAGAAGCAATGGTAAAATAATTTTTTTTTTTTAATCTTTCCTTGTATGGCCCAGAATTGTTTGTAGTTGCAGTAGTTAAGTATACAAAAAATGGCAAAAATGTAATTTATCTACATAACTATGAATGTAGTTGAACTACCAGCAAGTTAATGCAAAATGGAGTTAATTAAACTACTAGTTTAATTACATTGTTCACCACCCCCCAACACTTTTAATACACATTATCAAAGCTTTCTCTGCTAGAATATTACCAATTAATTCAGCCTGATTCCAGACTGCAGCTAGTTACTGAGGATGCACTTTTACACATCCTTATCATGTTGGCTATAATTGTTTAGTTTGTGGTGCATATCCCAAACTAATTTTCAGCATAGCTTAGCATTAATATAAATTTTGACAAAGACAACTGCAGCTTACCTTGTAGGTGGCCTTGTGCTTAAAGAGACTGTCCCGTAACAGACAGCCCCTGGATTTACTTCTTAAGAAAAAAAAAAATCTTTAATAATTTTAAGTAAGATTAAAATAACACTACACACATCTATACTGTCTTCAGCAATTGTTAATCAAACAACATATGTCCTATTACTTCTTAATAACTTTTGAATAAAGTGATTATCACAGCTGCTCTTATCTAATATAGTACCTGGGCAGATTCTCTACCCAACACCAAACAGAGAACACAGTCATTCATGACATCTTCACTTCTACACATACCAAACAGAAAGTAAAGGAAATTTGGTCAACCAAGTTTATTTTACTTTAGTGGATGTGGAAAAATTTTCAAACAGAATGCCCGCTCACTGCCACTTCCTTCATGTTAATACTGTTGCACATATGATTTCCTTTACAATAAAACATTTTTGGGGTAAAAACACTGTACACCTATAACTGGAATTTAGTTGGGGGAACATTACATGCATACAGTGTACATATACACCAACACGCTCATACAAACAGTTGACCTGTGCCAAATATAATGAAGACAACAGTTGCAGCTCAGTTAACACATGATCACTGATGAAAACAAAGAATCAAGGTTAAACCAAGTGATTTCTTTAAAAACACATTGTTTTAAACCATCAGTCAATATTAAATACACCAAACTAGAAACAATTCATAGAAATGCATATAAAATATTATCACAACTGTAAAAAAAAAGAAAAAGAAAAAACAACTGTAATAAAAAGTTGGCAATCAACTTAAAAAAGAAGTGAGTATTAGCTGGTTTCCTGAGAAATTTAGCTATACTACAGTAATACTGACAACTGCCAAAATAAAAACATAAATAGAATAGAATAGAACAGAATAGCTTTGTTGTCATTGAATATGTGTGTCAAGCAAAACCTAAACACATTACACTGATTGTACTACATCTATTTACATTCAGCCGAGTTAAGAAGCAGTCTACAGCAGCAGATATAATTAAAAAAAGTAAATATTACACATGATGAGTGAATGTTCCACGTAATAAATAACACTGAAGACAATATAATAAGACCACACATTGTGAAATTTTCATAGTCCTCCTCTGCCAGAGAGGCATAATTATCTGCGTTCCTATAATTGGTGACCTGCTGTATGCCTTTCCATATGCATGTTGGATTTTTACTGATGAAATGTTCCTCAACTGTTTCCTTGTATGCAGCCTTAGCGCGTTGTTTCAGGACATGTCTGACAACAGTGTATTGTTCTCTGTCACCCACTTTAAAGGCAGCATTTTGGATCACCTTATTCATCCATGGGTTTCTAAAGTCATGGACATGCTTATCAGTGGTGACAATGGCAACACAAATGAAATGATAAAAAAGGAACAATACAAGGAACAAAAGATTAATAATGGCTAGGAGACAAAAAACTAATCTTTTTACTGATACTACTTTAGTCGCAGCCTACACAATGTATTTTTAACATAGTGACCATTTACTTGCAGTGCTCACTGCAGCTCTACATTTGACATTAGGTTTTTAAACTTAAACTGGACAGTTGATTGTCTTGGTCTGTGGCATACTGCTGATGTGTTCTGGGTGTCGTTTAAAATGTTCCAGTTGGGACCAAACTTAATTTGCTTTTTCTATGAGTAGTTCTTTAAAAAGAGAGAGAGAAACTTAACTACTAATGTACTACTATTTTAATCTCATGGCTGGCAGTCATTCAATTGAACCGTTCAATACCGGAAAACATACAAAACATGCATTGTCTACTGTACATTAAGAACTCAGAATCACAGTGCATCATACCATTATTTGCATTTCCTAAATGTAACGTGTGGAAATCTCTAATCTAGTTATTTTGAAATTCTATCACCCTATTAAAATGAATGCCCATGCACATTGTTAAACTACATCACTACTAACCTTTACATAGTTTAAATAAAGGCAATATAGCACAATACAGCATAGTTATACATGTTACTGAAATAAATATACAGTACAAACCTAAAACTATTCTACTTTTCCATCCAGTTACTGAACTATACTGTATATTGCTACTGTCCAAATTTTCTTTGCAGTTAGGTTTACTGAAACGTAAAGTGAGCTTTTGTCCTCAAGGTAAACACAAGAACAACAGTTGTGTGTTGTGTGGTTTCAGAGCTGTGCACTGATGTTGAATTCCACAGTTTTAGCGCTGTGCAGAAATGTCTCTCTCAGGCCCAACTTATTAAACGACCACACGTGATGCCAGAGAAAAAACTGACAACAATCAGATAACCTAAAACGTATGGAAGCCCATTTATGGCAGGAAAAAAAAAATTAAGAATAGTAATAAAACATTTTCTAGGTCCCATAATTATGATAAAAAAGTCAAAATTACAACAGTGAAGAATGTCTCACTAATCATGACTAAGACTCGTATCTTTTATTTGCCTAAACTAGAGCGAACACTAGAGCAAAATATACAATAAACAAAAAACCTGTGCATTCCCATTCGGGCCGGGGTAGTCTAGTGCAGCTTTAAAGAGAATTACCTGCCTTAAAGCATGTTTGTGAGCATGATCGTTTATTTTGAGCTCAGCAGATGTGGTAACAAAAATAATAACAAAACAAAACATACAGTAACAGCAAGTTAAGGCAACTGACCTAAAATACCTCTCGTCAAAAATGCCTCATAATCCTCCTTATGACTGACAAAGGAAATTGTAGGAATGTTTCACCACTTTGAAGGTTCAGAAATCATTTTAATCCATCTTGCATTGTTCTTTCACACAAAAATTCAGATTAAGTTACTTTCGTATGTGGCAGTTAATTTCACACTGAGGATGGCTATAATCTTACACATAGGGGAACAACATCTACGCTAAACACTGCATAATGTTTTGTGTTATGCAGTTCAGCAAGATTAAAATAACAGAATAACTGCCTTATCATGTCAGAAACATCATATTATAATGCTAGATTTGGCAGATGAATTTCAATGTCAATACTGTATGAACTTCATTTAAGTTATTATGCAGACATGATTTAGCTCATTTGAAAAATTCTCAGCATTTCCTCCATCGTCCATTTCTTTGCTTTGTGTAATTCAGTGCAAGCAAAAAATGTGAATGCAGCATGGCCATATAATAGATTTTGCTCAATTCCCACTGAGTAGCATACTGGCAGTAAGGGTTGGGTACGTGCTTCCTGATAAGATGCTCTGCTAATGTAATTGTATGGGGTTGATGTTTTGTAATGCTTGTCCACTGAGTAGCATTAAACAGAAAAACTGCTTTTCCATAAGAGCTAGGTCAAAAAGCAGAGACACACCAAACTAACGTGAAAGAACTAATGGCAATGCAGGCCTCACACCTACTTTGTCTGGGCCAGCAGGGTTGAAAAAGTGGCACTTGAACACAGTGCACAGACTGCAGCCAACGGCCAACTAGCATGTACGTTCTGCGCCTGTGTGACACAAATAACTCTGCTTACCAGCAGGTGGCGCAAAATCAGATTCACCATTCAAAAAGGGAAGGAAGATGAGTTAAACTGCAGAAGTGTAAGCTATAAAAAAAAAACACCTTTTGTTCAAACCTCGCTTTTGGTTAAAATAAAAATACAGATGCTGCTGATCACAATGGCTATAAACGATCATTACCGGATTATAAAGGAAAGGCTGGAGGAATTGTTCATGAAGGGTTAAATTAAAAGCAAAAATAAATCAAATAGATAAATAAATAAATAAAGCAGCTGGACCAATGCGATCTGAGTGAACAATCAGAAGGTGCCAGGCTGTACTTTTTGTTCTGTCAAACTGGCAGTGGCTCTCGGTATCCAGCCTTACTGACAGTACACTGCAGTAGGTCTACTGCCTGCCTCAGCAAACCTTCTGGGGCAGTATGGACATTTCACCCTTGTCAGGGGAAAGTTAATGTTTTCACTCACAACTACAGACCTGTTTAAGGTTGTTCCTTATCAGCTTTCCACAGCTGCTCCTTAACCTCCGTGGGCAAGGTGCTGAAGAGGTCTTCCTCCACCACCAGCCCGGTTCTCTTTAGCTGACGACACTCGCCCAGCTCCACAGGCAGACACTCCAGACGGTTTCCTCTCAGCTCTAGCTGTGTCAACCCAGTCAGTTCCCCAAACCGTGATGGCAGAGACTGCAGGCAGTTGTTCCCCAAGTTCAATGTGCGAAGCTTCTTGCACTGGAACAGCTCATTAGGCAGACTCTCAATCTTTAATTAAAGATGATGAGGTTGTTGTGAAGGGAAAAAAATGGAGAGAGATTAAAATTTTTAAAATTTTACATTTTACAGCAGGAGACAAATTGTTGCAAACAACCCACAGAGTATATATACAATCAATGTGCATTCAACAAAGATGAAATCTGTTATATAACTGTGATGTTCAAGTGCCTACCCTGTTGGCTGTCACTGCCAGGTACTGCAGATTCTGGAGGAAGCCAATGTCTGTTGGGATGTAGGTCAGGTTGTTATGGCTCAGGTCGAGGAAGCGCAGCTTGCGGCAATAAAACAACTGGTTGGGGATCGTCTCAATCTTGTTTCTGTTCAGGTACAGCTTCTCCAGGTTGGTCAGTGTGCCAATCTGAATGGGAATATAGGCGATGTGGTTATACCAGAGCTTAAGGCAGACCAGCCGATGAAGGTGTTGGAAGCTGATGATCTCCTCAATGGTCTTCAGGTTGTTGTCCTTCAGATCAATCTCCTGCAAGTTGTGCAAGCTGAAGATTGAGTGTGGTATGCGTTCTAGATCACAGCGAATGAGCTCCAGTTCCGTCAGGTTCACCATCTTTTTCAGGCTGTTGAGCACCATCAGCTTGGTGCCTTCATTATTGATGGAAAACTTCTGGAGATGCATGCCCACATCAGTCACCACCTGAGGTAGCTTGGTGAGATTGCTCTTCAGACGAAGAACTTTGAGCCTCTTGAGCTCCCGGAGCCCATCGATGACAATGTAACGGTTGTTCTCAGCACTGAGATTCCCTGTTAGGTGAAGTTCACTAAGATTCTTCAAACTGTAGATCCATAAGGGAATCTCTTTGATATCAGTGAACTTGATGTGCAGAGACTTCAAGTGTTCACGCAAAAATGCCAATGCTGGAGCTTCGATTTTGGCTGGGGTGTGATAAAGCCACATTTCTTGCAGGTTGACCAGTTGGGCGATGATTGGGGGAATAGTGACATCTGGGATAAGCTCCAGTTTAAGAACCTCCAGCTCCATTAGGTCAAACACTGTGTCTGGAATACCACTCAGCATGAAAAGGTGCAACTCCAACTTCTCCTGAGAGTTCTTAGTTATCCTCTGCCTGATCTTGTCCAGTGTCCACTCGTTATTGAGGTTGAGCTGCCTCAGCTTATTTTCGCTTACTTCTGAGAGGAACACAGCAAAGCGTTTGGAGTACAGAGGATCATACTGGTCTATCATGTGCAACATAAATGCAAAGTCGTTCTTCACATCGGGTATGTCACTGTAGCTGCTCTCTTCCCGTATTGACTCGAAGGAGTACTTCTTCAGAGAGCGCCGAAGCATCCAGCAGAGCGTGTACATGCAGATCAAACCATACACCACAACTAAGCTAATGTAGAAACAGGCTAAGATTTTAAAAAGTGTAGCCAGTGGGTGAGCACAACGGTACACACTGTAACCTGTCAGACTCTCTATATTTACCGAACAATCTACACTGAATTTAATATCGTGCACATAATACCCTGTGTAGCAGATTATCAAAATAAACTTGATAACTTTGATGATAGTCTGACGGATGTACAGTCTATACACAATGTCTCCTTCTTCAACATGTATACGAAACTTTTTCACTTTTTCAAACAGGGCTTTTGCCTGTTCGCCTTCTTTTTTGTCCAAAACCCCAGTTTCTGTTCTATCCACAATGCCCTGCTCAAAGCGGGTCTTTGTCCTTTGGAGCATAGGAACACTTGCTTCAACATCCTCACTGATTACAGACTCCTTGTGATCCATTGAGCCGTTCATTTTCATTGGTTTTGGGTCACTCTCTTCAACCACTGTCTCTGACAGCGCCCTAGTTGTCCATGGGGAGTCAAAGCATTTCAGCAAGATGGATACAAAGTGTTCTAGTTTGGAGCTAGTCCGTGGAAACTTAAACCAAAAGTTACTGCAAGCTAGGAAAATAAGGGTGTGGAGTAATACTAGGTAGGGGAAATACTTGGCAAACCAGTGCAATTTATTCTCATAGCACACAGCATCCACATAGTTGTACTGGTGGCGGTCCAGGTCATACTGGATCCCTTTGGGCTCCATGAATAATGATGCTAAGAGAGTGGAATTGAAGTTTTTCTTGCAGGTATCATTGACCACCCATTTGCAGGGCAGGCAGATCATCTTATCCTGGGTGACCTGCAGTGTCCCTCCAAACACAGAAATCATAAGCATAACAATGGAGATATAGTCGGTGAACACATCCCACCATGGTTTCAGGATGCGGTATGCTGGCTGTGTGTCCACAAAGTACCTCAGCTCAGTGATGGGAATCATGGTTTATCTGTGAAAAAGATGGTTCAAGAAAATGATTATAATCAAATACTGAAAAACTATATATACTGTTGTAAAAAAAAAAAAAACTCCTTCCCATTAATGACTGAACAGCCTTTAACTGAACCACAACCAAGCTGACAAATCAATGCCAGAGTGATAAGTAACAGGTTCATACATCAGAACATTCCTGATGGTTAATTTAAAGTCTGCCAGAAGTAATGAAACAGAGATTCCCAAGTGCTGTGACAAAGAACTGCTTGATTGATTTCACTGGGTGGGCTACCATTTCATCGATTCACCCATTGTTAAAGATGAACAAATAGTCTTGCTTTCAAAGAGGTGTCATACCGGACAGAATTTCAAATGTTGCAGCACACCAGCAAACATCAATAAAATATAAACTCACTTTGTCTGCATTTTTATTTAGTCTCTGCAAGATTTAGGGGAAGAATTAATGGACTGTCCTTGTAATGAGAAAGTCAAAAGATATGGCTCTCCCCCGGCTAATGAGACAGCTGCCCCAGAAGTGTGTGCAGGCTACAAACATG